CATAGTTTTGTTGTCTTCACTATTATTCTACAATGTAGAAAATAGTAAAAATAAAGAAAAACCCTGGAATGAGTCGGTGTGTCCAAACTTTTGTGTCACGGCTTCGGCCGAGGCTGCATCCCCTCCTTATTTGGGCAGGCTTCGGCGTTCGTCGTCACCAGAGTACTAACCACTGCCGACCCAAACCACTGCCGACCCAATCATCATCACAATTGTCTTGTCAATCACACACACCTGGTTCATATCCCCTAATTAGTCTGTGTATAAGTGTTCCCTCTGCCCTGGAGTGGGCCAACGCGGTGTAGGACGAGGGAGGAGCCACATTGGAGGACTACAGGGAGTTTGTTCGCCTCTTTTGGGCAGTCTTCGATCACCCGCCCGAGGGTCGAGAGGCAGGTGAGCGGCTGGACCACCTGAGGTAGGGGACGAGGACCGTGCAGGACTTCGCGTTGGAGTTTCGGACGCTGGCAGCGGGGTCCGGGTGGAACGAGCGGGCCTTGATCGACCATTTCCAGTGCCATCTGCGGGAGGACGTCCGACGGGAGCTAGCCTGCCGGGACACCATGTTGTCCTTCGATAAACTGGTGGACATGGCCATTAGTTTGGACAACCTGCTGGCAGCCAGAGGACGTCCTGGTAGGGGTCTGTCCGTTTCCACCCCAGACGACTCGGATCCCTAGCCGATGGAGCACGCATCACCCCAGGTATCAAACACCCACACTTGTTCAGAGCCCTCTGTTGCGCACTGTACCCTACCTATCCACTTTCCCGATCACATGGTAGTTCCCCAGTGTAAGGCGCTAGTCGATTCAGGCGCAGCTGGGAACTTTATGGACAGGGCATTCGCACGCCGTCAAGGCATTTCATTGGTTCCCCTCTCCATTCCACTCCACATCAGAGCACTCGATAGTCGACCATTAGGGTCCGGGTTTGTTACGGAAGTCACTATACCGGTCACCATGATCACCCAGGAGACTCATTGTGAGCAAGTAATTTTTTCGATTAGTGAATCTCCTGCTTTCCCTGTGGTATTAGGTATCCCTTGGCTAGCACTCCACAACCCCACATTCTCATGGCCGCAGAGGGCTCTCACGGGGTGGTCGCATGAATGTCAGGGTAGGTGTCTTGATGTTTCCGTTGGTGCAACCACGGTGGAAAGTCCAGACGGTACCTCCACCATGCGCATTCCCCCCGAATACCTCAATTTGGCGCACGCGTTTTCCAAGATGCGTGCTACTAAATTACCACCTCATCGGGCGGGGGATTGCGCGATAGTCCTTCGGGTAGGCGCTGTACCTCCCAGGAGTCTTGTGTATCCCCTGTCGCAGGCTGAAACGGAGGCTATGGAAACATACGTCTCAGAGTCCCTGGGCCAGGGGTACATATGTCCCTCCACTTCACCCGCCTCCTCGAGTTGCTTCTTTGTGAAGAAGAAAGACGGCGGTCTGCGCCCGTGCATTGATTATCGATCACTGAACAAGGAGACGATTAGATTTAGTTATCCTCTCCCCCTCATTTCTTCAGTGATCGAGTCAATGAATGGGGCGTGCTTCTTCACAAAGCTAGATCTCAGGAGTGCGTACAACCTGGTGCGTGTTCGGGAGGGGGATGAGTGGAAGACAGCATTCAGCACAACCACGGGGCATTATGAATACCTGGAGATGCCCTACGGTTTGATGAATGCTCCATCCGTCTTCCAGTCCTTTGTGAACGAGGTGTTTCGGGACATGCTTGGTCGCGGTGTAGTGGTCTACATCGATGACATCCTGGTATATTCCGTTACTCGCGCTGAGCACGTGTCCCTGGTTCGCAAAGTGCTGGCCAGACTGTTGGAGAATGACCTTTATGCCAAGGCAGAGAAGTGTATTTTCCAGCAGTCCGTCTCCTTCCTCGGATATCGCATTACCACCTCAGGTGTGGAGATGGAGGGAGATCGCATTTCAGCCGTGCGTAATTGGCCGACTCCAACCACGGTAAAGGAGGTGCAGCGATTCCTTGGCTTTGCCAACTACTACCGAAGGTTTATCCGGGGCTTTGGCAAAGTCGCAGCTCCCATCATATCCCTGTTGAAGGGTGGGCCGTCCCGGCTGCTGAGGCGGATCTGGCCTTCAGGAGACTGCGGGATCTGTTTACCTCAGCTCCGGTACTGGCCCACCCCGATCCATCACTACAGTTCGTAGTGGAGGTGGATGCGTCCGAGGTAGGGATAGGCGCTGTCCTGTCCCAACGCTCGGAGACGCCATCCAAGCTCCGCCCCTGTGCCTTCTTCTCGAAGAAGCTCAGCCCGGCGGAGCAGAACTACGACGTTGGTGATCGGGAGCTGTTGGCTGTTGTCCGAGATTTGACCATGTGGAGGCATTGGCTCGAAGGGGCGAAACACCCTTTCCTCGTCTGGACGGACCACCGTAACCTGGAGTACATCCGGGCAGCGAGGAGACTGAATCCTCGCCAGGCCAGTTGGGCCCTATTCTTCACCCGGTTTGATTTTACACTTTCATACATTCCGGGTACGAAGAACGTGAAGGCAGACGCACTGTCCCGGCTGTATGACACATACCCAGAGACAATACCCCCATACTCCCGGCCTCCTGCATTGTGGCGCCAGTAGTATGGGCGATGGACGCGGATATAGAGCATTACGCACAGATCCATCTCCACCGCAGTGTCCAGCTGGGCTGCGGTACGTGCCAGCTCTTATCCGTGATCGTCTGATCTTCTGGGCACACAAGTCACCCTCCTCTGGTCACCCAGGTATCGGTCGTACAGTGTGCTGCTTGAGCGGAAAGTACTGGTGGCCTACCTTAGCTAAGGATGTGAGGGTGTACGTCTCCTCCTGCTCGGTGTGCGCCCAGAGTAAGGCACCTAGGCACCTCCCAGCGGGTAAGCTACAACCGTTACCAGTTCCACAATGACCATGGTCTCACCTTAGCATTGATTTTCTGACTGATCTTCCCCTCTCCCAAGGTAACACCACCATCCTGGTCGTTGTGGACCGTTTCTCCAAGTCCTGCCGCCTCCTTCCTCTGCCCGGTCTCCCCACGGCCCTACAGATTGCGGAGGCCCTGTTCACTCACGTCTTCTGGCAATACGGGGTGCGAGAGGATATAGTGTCCGACCGAGGTCCCCAGTTCACGTCCAAGGTTTGGAGGGCGTTCATGGAACGTCTGGGGTCTCGGTCAGCCTGACCTCTGGGTTCCACCCCGAGTCAAATGGGCAGGTGGAACGAGTACATCAGGATGTGGGTAGGTTCCTGCGGTCCTACTGCCAGGACCGGCCGGGGGAGTGGTCGGTGTTCTTGTCATGGGCAGAATATGCCCAGAACTCTCTCCGCCACTCCTCTACTAACCTAACACCATTTCAATGTGTTTTAGGTTACCAACCGGTTCTGGCACCGTGGCACCAGAGCCAGACCGAGGCGCCTGCGGTGGATGACTGGTTTCGGCGTGCGGAGGAGACATGGGACACTGCCCACGTTAACCTCCAGCGCGCCGTGCATCGTCAGAAGGCCAACGCTGACCGTCACCACAGTGAGGCCCCGGTCCTCGTACCGGGGGATAGGGTCTGGCTCTCGACACGGAATCTGCCCCTCTGCCTGCCCTGCCGGAAGCTGAGCCCGCGGTTTGTGGGGCTGTTCAAAGTCCTGAGGAGAATCAACAAGGTTACGTAGAAGTTGTTACTCCCCCCTGATTACCATATTAACCCCTCGTTTCATGTGTCTCTCCTCAGGCCGGTGCTGGTTGGTCCGCTCCAGGAGTCTGAGGTGCGGGAGGTTCCTCCACCTCCTCTGGACATCGAGGGGGCCCCGGCGTACTCTGTCCGTGCCATCCTGGATTCGAGGCGTCGGGTGGGGGGCCTTCAGTACCTCGTGGAGTGGGAGGGGTATGGTCCGAAGGAACGGTGCTGGGTCCCGGTGAGGGATATCCTCTATCCCTCCCTGTTGCAGGATTTCCACCGTCGCCATCCGGCTTGCCCTGCTCCGCGTCCTCCTGGCCGTCCCCGAGGCCGGGGTCGGCACACTGCTGGATCTGCGCCGAGGCTGCCTCCCCTCCTTATTCGGGCAGGCTTCGGCGTTCGTCATTACCGGAGTACTAACCACTGCCGCCCCAATCATCATCACAATTGTCTTGTCGATCACACACACCTGGTTCCTATCCCCTAATTAGTCTGTGTATAAGTGTTCCCTCTGCCCCCTTGTCCTTGTGGGTGATTGTTAATTGTGAGAGTAATGTAGCTCGGGTGAGCTACTCATAACATTGTGTTACCAGGGTAGATTTCCCCCCTGTGCCTATGTATTATTGGATTCTGTTACAGTGTAATTGCCAGGGATGTTGGTTTCCCCTGTGCCTGTTTCATTGATCGCTATTGGAGCGCATTTATGTGTCAACGAAGGAATAAACTCTGTATTCAGTATGAAAAAATGTATGCACTCACTAACTGTAAGTCGCTCTGGATAAGAGCGTCTGCTAAATGACTAAAATGTAAATGTAATTACCCTCCTGTGCCTGACTCCTTTCACCACACTCACCACATTTTGACTGGTACTGTATATTTAGTACTTCAAGGGTCTTAAAATTCTAAATCAAATAGCAAAATGATCATGGTATGACCTTCTTAAAACAATTCCATATATATTAAAATAATTCCATATATCTTAGTAAACCCCCGCCCCCCTCCCCCAGCTTAGACATGGTTTAGACTCTTATCTAATCTATTTTTGGTAGGAGTGTGTGTGTGTGCTGCCCTCTACTGAGCACTCGTGGTTTGACAGCCCCATTACTTGTCCCTACTTCTTTAACGCAGACAATTAGACTCCTAGTAATGAGGCCAGATCAGTAATGAACCACTTCTTTATTTTGATTACTATCCATGATCAACATATCAGTTATACAGTCACTACAACACTTTTGTTACTAATACTATAAGATTATTTGACTTTAGTAGCATTGTGTGTCTGTACGTGCGTGTGTGTGTGCCTATGTGTTTGTACATGGTATATGTGTGTGTTTGTATATGGAGTGTGTGCATATAAATTAGATTAGTTGGCTGTGGGGTTGTTTATGACGACTCTCTGCTGTTGGAGCTGGGCAGTCCAGTCCTCCTCGATGTATTTGTGGTAGGGGTCGTCAGAATGCTCGCACCGCTTTGACTTCACCGTGCTCACCAGGATCGCCACGACAATGAAGGCAAACATTCCAATCATTACTATCAGGTACCAAACGACGTTCCTGAAGTTCTCCTCTGCCAGAGTGTTGTCCAGAGCCTGTTCTGCCTTTGAGGAGTTACGGCTCCAGTTGTCAAGATAACGGCCCAGGGCACGGGTCAGAGAGTCCTCCAGGTGGAGGGTCATATTTGACCAATTAGGCAGCATGATCACCTGGTGGGCAGGGTAAGCAGAGATCGAATTGGATCAATGGCAGAAGAGAATACATTGACATTGTACTGTCTTTCTATGATCTGTGCATTGAATCTTCATATAAGAACAAAAACAAGCACATACACAGACATTACATTATATAAAGAATCAGACAAATGGTGAACCTTCATCCCGTCCAGTTGTGAGAAAAAAAATCTGACCTGTTCAGGGTTTCCAGTATCAGTCTAGGGTGGTTGAAGAGATGTTACATTCACAGGCGTCGAGATAGAGGCAGGGTCCTGGAGGAGGGAAGTAGGATGAGAAAGAGACAAATATCCTACCACACAACCGACCAACTAACCAGTCAACCTCAGCCTAGGACAGAGCCAGTTACAAAAAGAAACACTACTCATATTTTATTTACAGTGTTTGCCTGTGGTGTGTGTGTGTGTGTGTGTGTGTGTGTGTGTGTGTGTGTGTGTGTGTGTGTGTGTGTGTGTGTGTGTGTGTGTGTGTGTGTGTGTGTGTGTGTGTGTGTGTGTGTGTGTGTGTGTGTGTGTGTGTGTGTGTGTGTGTGTGTGTGTGTGTGTGTGTGTGTGTGTGTGTGTGTGTGTGTGTGTGCGTGTGAGAGAGAGAGTATGCGTGTGTGTTCCTGATGACCTTGAGAAAAGCATCAAGCTCAGCTGATATGGAAAGGGGAGTAGTGGTGAGGGTCACTCTCACCCTGCCACTCGCAAACACACACTGTAGCCTACATTTTAATTTTAAACAGCAGCACTACTATCATTTGTGGAATGTGTTCTAATACTTGAGAAGTCCACATGGGGGCAGGCAGTACCACGATGCACAGTATCAAGGTTCATGATCTCAAAAATTAGATACAATCTTATCCCTGAGCAATAGGACACAACAAACATGCTAGCATTCAAGACAATAGTGTTAAGTGTAATAGTCTTTGCAAAAGTGTATATATATAATTTGACGCTATTGGTGGAGCTCTTCTTTAGCCTACCCCACTGTCTTGCCCTCTGCCAATTATTGTCTGTAGTACATTGTTCCCGCTTGTGAAATTCCATAGCAGTACCCACATTTGCCACTAGAAAACAGACAACTTATTCTGGTGTAATGTCACCATGTGTACCTCAGGTTAAATTGGGAATTCGGAGGTGAGGGAGCCCTATTTGGAGGGGTTAGGGTTTAGTAAACCAAATATTTTAGGTTTGGTTGATCAAGGATGCCAGGCTAAGGAAGCTTCCGCAACAAGCCATCTGTAAATAATGTCTCGTTGCGGGACAAAGCATGGGTTACGGTTGAACATGAAGCTAGGGTTATGGCTAGTGTTAGGGTTGAACTGGGGTGTGGACATGAAGTTAGGGTAAGGATTAGGGTTAAGGTTAAGGCCAGGGTTAGGGTTGGACCGGGGTGTCGACATGAAGCTAGGGTAAGGGTTAGGGTTATTGCTAGTGTTTGGATTGAATGGGGGTGTGGACATTAAACTAGGGTTAGGGTTAGGAATTTGATCCTACTTTCTATTCTACTCCTCTTTGGACCCTTAAGGTGCTGGAGCTTAGCTCTACCTGGGTCTCTCTTTGATCCAAGGTGCAGGAGCCCGGCTCTGGGTAGCTCCAGCTCAATTGAATCACTGGTTTTCCTCACATATTTGTGTTAGGCATTAAGTTGTTCACCTGAGGATAGTTATACTGTATTACATAATCAGACAGGGCTCCAAGTGAAACCGTTGAGTAAAGTTGCTGAACCTTTTCCATGGTCACACCGCTGCCACTCCCCTTGGATGGAGGACCTGGAACAGGACAGGTACATAAACCTGATATACTAACTGTTTAATGTGGCTGAGAGCTAGCAAACACATACAGACACACACACGCGAACACACACGTTTGTCTCCTCAACTTGTTCAACAGCCACACCATTCATTACCAGATTCAACTGAGGTCTAGAACTTACGGAATGATTTGTACCAAATACAATGGTCTTAGTTTTAGAGACCAGTTAATTACTGGCCACCCATTCCAAAACAGACTGCAACTCTTTGTTAAGGGTTTCAGTGACTTCATTTGCTGTGGTTGCTGATGCGTATATGGTTGAATCATCAGCATACATGGACACACATGCTTTGTTTAATGCCAGTGGTAGGTCATTAGTAAAAAATAGAAAAGAGTAGAGGGCCTAGAGAGCTGCCCTGCGCTACACCACACTTTACAAGTTTAACATCAGAGAAGCTTCCATTAAAGAAAACCCTCAGTTCTATTAGATAGATAGCTTTGAATCCACGATATGGCAGAGGTTGAAAAGCCATAACACATACGTTTTCACAACAGGTCATAGTCAATAATATCAAAGGCTGCACTGAAGTCTAACAGTACAGCTCCCATAATGTTCTTATTATCAATTTCTTTCAACCAATCATCAGTCATTTGTGTCAGTGCAATACATGTTGACTGCCCTTCTCTATAAGCATGCTGAAAGTCTGTTGTTAATTTGTTTACAGAAAAATTATTATTGTATTTGGTCCCCAAAAAACGTCAACAGTTTGCTAAGAGCTGGCAGCAAGCTGATAGGTCGGCTGTTAGAACCAGTAAAGGAGTGACAAGTACTGAGTTTACAAAGAGGCAGGACGCAGACGCAGGAATTAACAAGGTCAAGGTTTACTTATCAATGCGAAAGAGAAATAACAAAGATAGAGTAAACAACACGAAGCTTAACAATCACACACAACATCATACAGAACAGTCCAGGGCTAAATAGGGGTGGTGATGAGATGATGAGGTGCAGGTGCGCTGGAGGTGATTAGGGTGTGTTGGGTTTCCATTCCGGTGTTGCCAAGGTGGTGCGCTCAGACCGGTGGCTCAGTAGACCGGCGACACAGAGTGCCAGAGAAGAGCAACGGGAGGAGACGTGACAAAAGGTGGCCTTACCACTCTTGGGTAGCGGAATGATTTTGGCTTCCCTCCAGGCCCGAGGACAAAGACTTTCCTCTAGGCTTAGATTAAAGATATGACAGATAGGAGAGGCTATTGAGTCAGCTGCCATCCTCAGTTGCTTTCCATTTAAATTGTCAATGCCAGGAGGTTTGTCATTGTCAGTGTTTGAAGTGGATGTGGTGTTGGAGTCAGGCGCAGGACACAGAAGCTTAGTCTAACAGACTTTACTAGTCAGAAATATGACAATACAAAAAGAACGGGCCTCAAGCAACGGAGGCGAGCGATGCGCAAACAGTGCGTCAATACACTTAAATACACCAGAGCAAAATCCAAAACCCCAACGGACAGGCGGACAACAACACACAACTACAAACAAAACCAAAGGAAACTTATAGGTGACATAATCAATAAGTGATAAGACACAGGTGCACCAAACAGACAAAACCAAACAAACATAGAGAACATCAAACGGTAGCAGCTAGTACTCCGGGGACGACGAACGCCAAAGCCTGCCCGAACAAGGAGGAGGAGCAGTCTCAGCGGATTTCGTGACAGTACCCCCCCCCTTGACGTGCGGCTCCAGCCGTGCGCCGACCCCGGCCTCGGGGACGGCCAGGAGGACGTGGAGCAGGGCGCGTAGGATGACTACGATGGAACTCAGTCAGGAGGGATGGAACTAAAATATCCCTCCGAGGCAACCAGCACCGTTCCTCCGGACCGTACCCCTCCCACTCCACGAGATATTGTAGACCCCCCATCCGACGTCTCGAATCCACGATGGACCGGACTGAGTACGCCGGAGCCCCCTCGATGTCCAGTGGGGGCGGAGGGGTCTCCCTTATCTCACTCTCCTGGAGTGGACCAGCTACCACCGGCCTGCGGAGAGACACATGGAATGAGGGGTTAATGTGATAGTCATTGGGCAGTTGCAACCTGTAACACACCTCATTCAATCTCCTCAGGACTTTAAATGGCCCCACAAACGAAGGGGCAGGTTTCGAGTCGAGAGCCAGACTCGATCTCCAGGGGCGTAGACTGGACCCTCACTGCGGTGGAGGTCGGCGCTCGCCTTCTGCCTGCGGATGGCCCGCTGCAGATGGACGTGGGCAGCGTTCCACGTCTCCTCCGAGCGCCGAAACCACTCATCCACCGCAGGAGCCTCGATCTGGCTCTGATGCCATGGTGCCAGGACCGGCTGATAACCTAACACACACTGAAAAGGGGTCAGGTTAGTTGAGGAGTGGCGGAGAGAGTTCTGAGCCATCTCTGCCCAGGGGATATACTCCGACCACTCCTCCGGCCGGCCCTGGCAATAGGATCTCAGAAACCTACCCACATCCTGGTTTACTCTCTCCACCTGCCCATTACTCTCCGGGTGGTAACCCGAGGTAAGGCTAACCGAGACCCCCAAGCGTTCCATGAATGCCCTCCAGACTCTAGAGGTGAACTGGGGACCCTGATCAGACACTATATCCTCGGGAACCCCGTAGTGCCGGAAGACGTGGGTGAACAAAGCCTCAGCGGTCTGTAGGGCAGTGGGGAGACCCGGCATAGGAATGAGATGACAGGCCTTAGAGAACCGATCCACAACGACCAGAATAGTGGTATTCCCCTGGGAGGGGGGAAGGTCCGTGACAAAGTCCACCGAGAGGTGAGACCACGGCCATTGTGGAACGGGCAGGGGTTGTAACTTCCCCCTGGGTGGTGTCTAGGCGCCTTACACTGAGCGCACACCGAGCAGGAGGAGACATAAACCCTCACGTCCTTAGCCAATGTTGGCCACCAGTATTTAACACAAAGGCAGTGCACTGTCCGGCCAATACCTGGATGTCCAGAGGAGGGTGACATATGAGCCCAATAAATGAGCCGATCACGGACCTCGAGCGGCACGTACGTCCGACCCACTGGACACTCTGGGGGAGTAGGGTCGGTGCGTAACGCCTGCTCAATTTCCGCATCGACCTCCCATACCACCGGTGCCACCAGACAAGACTCCGGCAGTATGGGAGTGGGCTCAATGGACCTCTCCTCTGTGTCATACCGCCGGGACAGGGCGTCTGCCTTACCGTTCTGGGACCCTGGGATGTACGTGATCTTAAAAACGAACCAGGTCAGGAACATGTTCCACCTAGCCTGACGAGGGTTTAATCTCCTAGCTGCCCGGATGTACTCCAGGTTACGATGGTCGGTCAGAATGAGAAAAGGGTGTTGAGCCCCCTCAAGCCAATGCCTCCACACCTTTAGGGCTTGAACCACGGCTAACAGCTCCCTGTCCCCTACGTCATAATTACGCTCCGCCGGGCTGAGCTTCTTAGAATAAAAAGCGCAGGGACGGAGCTTAGGTGGCGTGCCTGAGC